AGAGAGAGAGAGAGAGAGAGAGAGAGAGAGAGAGAGAGAGAGAGAGAAAGCAAGCCAGCTGCCCCAGCACCCTGAGAAAGTCTCCAACCAGGAGTAGCCCCGAAAAGAAAGAGACTAGGAATGGGTGGCCTATACCCCCAGGACCCTTAGCCATCCATGGCACCCTAAATGATGCACCTCCAAGCCTAGACTGAATGGACTCAGCCAGATGCTATGGAACCCCAAAATGCCTTCCCTCCCACCCTAGTCCCCAGCCAGGTGGGTTCTGGGTACTCACTGGATCTCTGTTTACAGGCATGACCATATACCCTGACCAACTAGCAAGCACCTGTCAAATGACCAGGGCAGGAGGCAGCAGGGGACCCCAAATGCAGATAACCCTGCACTGCCCCACAGGAATCCCATGGTCAGTAAGCCACCATGGGCCAATAAAGAGCTGGGCAAGGGCAAGGAAGCTGGGGGAAGATGTGGCCTGCTGCCATGTGTACTGATAGCCCCTCCCCTAGTCTCTGATGATCCCCAGCATCATCCACCTAGAGTCCCTGTGAGTAGCTGGGTTCTACTAAGGCCCCAGGAAGACGGCACCTGCTGGGCACTGCATCAGTCTGTCAGAGGCCCATGTTCCCATAGAAACCTGGTCACGGCCTGAATTAGGCCACCAGGGATCACTCGCAGCTTCCCCAATGGGGAGACATGGTGTAGGCAGATAAGGTCACTCTAATGCCAGCCGTGAGCCCCAAGACCATGACTCACACTACGGCACATGCAGGAAAGACCCTCCTTAGCCATAGCCACAGCCACGCGGGGCAGAGGCTATGTGGAGCCCAGGCCCCACACGTAGCCATACTACCTTGTTGAGCTCTTCAATCCTGCGGATCAGGTATGGATTGCTAGATGAGTTCTCGAAGTAGACATAGTCTGCAAACAGAGGAAGAGGGCGTCACTGGCAGCCCCACTACAGACACAACAAGAGCCTGCCTGTCCCCACTTCCCCCACCCTGGGGACTACCCCTGGAGAGGTGCTAGCCCTGCTCGCAACCCAGGGGAGGGAGGAGAGATGGAGGTGAAGCCCCATGCCACCGAAAGGATACGTAGCATTAGATGGTGGCAGGCAGGGGTTCTGTGCAGTCTTCATGGGAAGGCTGGGACACCAGGCTACAGCTTCCCTGGCACAGCCCAGCTCCAGGCGCCTGGGACCCAACAGAGCCACCAGGACACCTCCCCATGGAGCTGCTGAGGCCTAGAAGGTGGATCCACCATCAGCTTCCAGAGACCATCTCAGCATAGAGGGTACACTGGGCCGGCCCATCTTCCCCCCAGTAAATAGAAGCGGCAACTACACTGAACACAGGCCGGGACTTCCCAGGCTGATGCGCACAAAGAAATAGGGCAGAGTCCGAGAGCAGACCCCAAGGGTTCACAGTGTGAGGCCTCCCAGCACTGCAAACTGGTATGAATCTCCCCACTGTAAAAGTACACTGCTCACCAGGCTTCGTAGTGCACGCCTATAACCCCAGCACTCAGGAGGCTGAGGCAGGAGGATCGTTGCAAGTTCGAGAATAGCCTGGGCTATAAAGTATGCTTGAGGCCAGTCTGAAACGCATAGCGAGACTGTCTCAAAAAGATAAAAGACAAAAAAAGCACACAGCTCACAGCTCCACATGCAGAGAATGACAGGTAGTCTGGGCATGTGCTTGGCATGGAAGAAGGAAGACCCAGGACAACCCAGCTACCTGCTACCTATTCCATGAAGCTGCCCCTTTGCACCTTGGTGCACACCTGCACTGCGCCTGCTCTAACCAGGATGACGAGGATGCCTGGTGTGGTTGGAATCAGCCCAATGCCCACAAGCAGATCAGAGCAGCTACAAGAGTAGGCCCAGAACCTGGCCAGCTCTGTCCCCGGGCCAAGCCCATGGAGCTAACACGTGTGCAGCCACCCTGCTAGTGGTGCACACCTGGGTGCCAGAGGCTCCACTGCAGCCCTCACAGCCCCATAGAGAGGACACAGCTGGCACTCAGAGGGACATACACCACAGGAAACAGTGAACTGGAAAAAGCCAAGGCCCATGACATGAGGGGTGCTGGGTTCCTTCCACGGTGGCGGGAAGGTTCTGAACTTAGGCTTGGGCCCTCATGGGCCCTGCAAAGACACCACATTCACCAAGTTAAACACTGCCTGGGCGAACTTCAACACACTGACTGCACCTTGATAAAATGAGTTGTTTTTTACTTTTTTTGGAGGGGGCACATTGAGACAGGGTCTCTCTAGGTAGCCCAGGCTGGCCTCAGATCTGCAAAGATCCTCCTGCCGCAGCCCTGAGTGCTGGGATTACAGGTGTGCATACCAGGACTCACACTAAACCGGATTTTTAAGTGGCTCGGTGGTAGGGCACTTGCCTAACAGGCACAAGGTCTTGAAGAGTAACAAAGTAAACAAAATGTCTTCAGACCGATCATCTGAGCTTTCATTCTTACAAATCAGAAGAAGCAAAAATGAGACTCAGAATTACTGCCAAAAATGGTAAAAAAAAAAAAAAAAAAAAAGTCCCTCAAGTGGGGAGACAGACAGGGCCTGCCTGCTTGCTGGCCAAGTCCTAGGCAACGCCCAGGAATGGAGTTGGGCACCACAACCAACTCAAGGGCGGCACCCTCTCAGGAAGGCCATGGATGCACAGGACCCGTGAGGGCAGGAAACAGTGCAGTGATGATGGGCACACATGAGTACAATGTGCCCATGGTCCAAGAGCTGCTCCCAAACACTAGCCAACACCTAAGAGGCAGGGTGCTGATTTGCAGCTTGCAACTGGCCTGGGGCAGGGGCCAACTTGTAGGCTTCCAGGGGGGCTGCCCCTCACGCCTTAGTGTGCGGAGCTGAGGTTGGGCACCGAGCAGTGAAGGAAGAGCACTGAAGCCAAGGCTTAGAAGCAGTCAGGGGAACCCACAGCTAGCACCAGCACAGCTGCGTTCCAATAAAACTTTATTTATGGGACTGAAATTTGAATTTCATAACATTTGCACATTTCCTGAAGCAGTCTCCTTTTATTTTTTCTCAACCACTTAAAAATGTTGAAGCCATTCTTAGCTCATGAGTCACCAGGCTAGGCAGTGCAACCTGCCAGTCTTGAAGCCTCGTGTGGCCATGACATCCACGCTCCCTACACAGGGGACCACCACCCTCCCTAGACAGAGCCATGGTCCCAACCAATCCCAAGCCCACTTGTTTTATGGAAATCAACAGGCTCACTCGCTTTCTTTCTTTCTTTCTTTCTTTCTTTCTTTCTTTCTTTCTTTTTTCTTCTCTTCTTTCTCTTCTCCTCTTCTTCTTCTCTCTCTCTCTCTCTCTCTCTTTTTCTCTCTCTCTCTCTTTCTTTCTTTTTAAATGCAGGGTGTCACTATGTATCCCAGGCTGGCCTTGAATACACTGTGAAGCCCAGGCTTCCTCCTGTCTCAGCCTCCTAAGTGCTTGGATTATAGGTGTGTGCCACCACACTTGGCACTCAACACGCTCATTCTACACTGAGGGAAACACAGGAAAAACTAGACTAACAGGAGGACCCACAGTACTACCACAAAGTCACAGCAATGGAGACAACGTGGACATTAGTATGCTGACCCACAGGCCACCAGGCAAGGACACCCCAACAAACGCCCCTGCAGCACCTAGCAGATTGTGCATTCCCAGGGGCTGAAACAACAGCAGAGGATAATGTCCTTCACAAGTAGCAATGGACCAAATGGACAGGCACGTACAAAACCAAGCAGAATCTTAGCCCTTACACAACTCAAACTGAAACGAATAATGAAATTCAGAACTACAAAAATCAGTTGCTTTGGTACGGCAAATTTCTTAAGACACACAAAATGCATAATTTCAGTCCCCTGGAAAAAGGAATACAAAACAAACTCTTGCTAGAGGTGGCAGTACACTAATTTGCAGCCCAGCCTGGATACTTTATAATTCAGCAAGACATTCTCTCAAACTTTAAAAATAAGAGGGGGAGGGAAGAGTTGAGAATATAGCTCATTGGCAAGGCCTAGGGTTTAATCTCCAGTCCTGCACGTGCAAAGTCCTCTGGAGGCTGCAGGTGTGGCCCAGCACGAAAGCACTTCAAGGCCCTGGGCTAGATCCCCCACACCGCAAAACAGAAACAAAAACAAAACAAAATCTGCTGGTATACGCCTATAATGCCAGCTCCTCAGGAGGCTGAGGCATGACGGTTTAAAGTTCAAGACCAGCTGGGAATATAGCTCAGTGGCACAAGTGCCTCCCTGGCAAGCGCAAGGTCCTGAGTTCGATCCCTGGTACCAAAAAAATAAAACAAACAAAAAAGACCAGCATGGGCAACTTAGCAGGATCCTGTTTCAAAACAAAATAAAAATAAAGGGCCGAGTATAGATCAGTGATAGAGAGCTTGCCTACCATGCTCAAGGCCTGGGGTACAAATTGCAGGACTGAAAGAAAGAAAACGGCCCCACTTCAGAAAACAGGCCAGGCAGACGTACAACAAATAAAAAAGGATGAACGCAAGCCAAAACTCTAATGAGCCAAGCACAGTGATCCACACCAGGGATCCCACCTACTTGGGAAGTTGAGGCAGGAGAATCACAAGTTCAAGGCCAGACAAGGCAATTTAGTAAGCTTCCATCTCAAAAAATAAATAGTGCGGGGCAAAAAGCCCAAACCTCCAAGGAGACACTCCGTACACAAATTTGAACACTGCGCAAAAATAGAAAGCTGAAGTGACCAGGTGACAGGTAGGCACGGAGGAGCCGGAGCTGGCACTCACAACTGGGATGGATGTAATCGCCAAGCCATAGCAGGAAGCAACTGCCAGCCTCAACAAGATCCACACAATGCCTGCATGCCCCTTCAGAACAGCTTCACTCCAAACCACCAAACACTGCAGGTGACCAGAGTACCCTGCACCGGTGAAAAATGGTACACATCCATAGGATGGACTTCCATTCAGCAAAAGCAAGGACTGAGCAAGTGACACTGGGACAGTCCATGTGCAGGATACTCAGGAACCAGCTGTGTCAGTGTGACAGGGACAGAGTCTAGAGGAGAGGCTGGAGGTGGGGAGACCGACCAACATGGGAAAGGGGGATGTGGAGAATGATGAAGGCCCCAGGTGGTCACCCAGCAGCACACACTGCCAAAGACCACAGACTGGGGCTGCAGATGCAGCTCAGTGGTACAACGTTTGCCCAGCATGCGTGAAGCCCTGGGTTCCATCCCCAGTACCACAAAAAACAAAAAATTAAAAAGTACAGTCACAGATCTGAGCCAGGCACGGTGGCGTGCACGTGTAGGTAGGTCCAGCTACTTGCAAGCCTGAGGCAGAAGGATCATTTGAGCCCAGGGATTCAAGACCAACCTGGACAACACTAAGACCTCTTCTCCATCAAAAAACAAAAGACCTACAGACCTTCCTGATAAAAGAGTTGTGTGTAACACACTTCAACATATACCTGAGTTCAAGTTAAAAATATATATACATACACACAAAAGCCAGGCATGGTGGCGCACCACTGTAACTTCAGCAGGCTGGGAGACTGAGGCAAGAGGATCACAAGTTTGACCCTACTTCAAAAAAAGAAATAAAAAGGATTGGGGATGTTGCTCAGTGCAAAGGTCCTTGGTTCAATTCCCAGTAATCCAAAAAAATCAAGGCCCACAGCAAAGCCCACACTTGTTATGCACGGCAGCTCTATTCTAGAGTCCTGCCGACCTGACCAGCACGTGAAGGCCCTCCATTCCCAGGGGACACTGCAGGGTCCCTCAAGAACCTGGTCATCTTTGGTCAAGCAATCCATTCAGAACCACGTCCTGTTTCCCTGACACTGACGTCAGCCACAGTGCTGTCACCCACGCCCTCAGGGCTCCTCCTCAGACTTTGGACTCTAGAAGCCCTC